GCGCGCTCTGCTGCTCGGAAGCCGTTGCCGACCCCTCTGCTGCCCCCGCCGCGCCCCTCCGGCGCTGGGACTCGGGGTTCCTTGCGCAACTTGTCCGCAGCGGAGCGCGCAGACGCGCCGAGGAAGTTCCCTCGGTGGGAACACGGCGTGGCTTCGCGTTGGAGGCCCGGGGGGCCTGGGAAGGAGCTCGGACGTTTGCCTCCGGCCTTCCTCTGGCTTTTTCAGTACTTGTGCTGCACAGCGGCCCGGAGCGTTGCAGTTAGTTTCTCTGTGTCATTCTGACGGTGTTTGCACGTACTCTTACAGTTGCATAAGTTTTAATAGAGGCAAAAACGTCTTGTTTTTGGCCAGAGGCATTTACAGTAAATTGCAAGTACAAGTATAGGTTTGCCCTGGTCGTAGAATACTGCTCAAAAATCTGTTACTAAAGACAGCTTCGCGTCCCTTCTTGAGGGTTGGAGTTCTCCGTTTCCCCTTCTCTCCTCTCTCGAATCATAAGACTAGCTATATTTTTCTGACGCTTTTTGATGTGTGTAGGCATTCTTTTGAAAGTCTGCAGACAGAATGATTTTGTATTTTGTTGCATTGTAAATGATAATTTTTTAAAAAAAGCTTAGTGATGGATTTTCGTTTCTGATGCCTGAATCATTGACAGAACGGCATGGAATCCTGGTGAAACCCTTTGGAAAGGTGGCATTTCACGTGCAAGGCCTGAAAGTGTGTTTGACACCTATTAGCTTAAACAGAACAAAAGACTTTTTTTCCTGTACAGTGCCTTAGAATCTTACATTAAAACCTCACAGGTAGTGTTGTTAGTTTTCTTTATTCTGTTTTGCTTCTCTGCAATAATGTCTATCTCTTGTTTTTTCACGTGCCTACTTCCTTTCTTGTCGCTTTGTCTGAACTACACTGGTTGTCTTTTGTTTTGTTTATTTGCACGTCCCACTCTGCTGCCAAATTCTTTCTTTTGCCCGCTCATGCGCACTGTAGTATTTGGCATGGGATTTGAAAACTTTACTGGATACCTGAGCTCAGCAAAGGCAAGAGATTACGTTTTTCTGAGGCAGCATGCAGTGTAGGTTTCTCTCCTTCCTTCCATGGCAGGAGAAGGAAGGAGGTGTTTAAATTAAGGTATTTAAATTTCTGTGTGTTAAGAAGGAGAAAGAAAGGACGGGATGATTCTTTTGCGAGGGGATCCAGCTTTTCTTTCTTTGTGCATAATATAACTTTTAGATTTCCTCCTCCTTTTCATAGAAAGAAGAACATTCTCTTCTACTACTCCTGTTAATCTGACTTTTTTCTAAAGCTGATACAGTAAAAGTGGACAGGTCCTTCAGTACCTTTTCTTGCTGTGTCCTGGCCAGAGATTAAGGAAGATAAGATGTTCTGATTCTTGATAGTTTCTTTGTGCACAGAGCTTTGAATTAGCATCAGTGTAAACTAATGATATCAGTAAGCTTGACACGCGATGGTGTAGAAAGGTTGTAAGCGGCAACACAGGAATCGAAGGTCTCTGTTGAGGCATGCAGACAGAGACTGCGCTGGTTAATGCAGTTCAGGTTTGGAAAGCTGGCTTTCAAAGTGCAAAGGCTAATAAAAACCTTAGCTGCTTCAAGCAGCGCTCATTCAGAAAAGCTTCTTGTGCCTCTTTTTGTTTGAATACTTATGTTCTTATTATTGAGTTGGCAATGTATGTAACTTCAGACTGTGTTTTGGAGATGGGCTGCTTGTGTTCTTAATAACAGGGCAAAAAGCTCTTCTGATTGAAAGTGATATTAATTTGTTCTATGTGATATTTTGGCGTGTTCTGGGGAAAGGGGTCTAATCTACCTTGGTAGTAGTATTACTTTATTGGATGAGGTAGTAGTATTACTTTATTGGATGAGGGTTTTGAGGTTAATAAAGTAAATATGTGATGAGTCTTATTTAAATCTAGCCCAGGTTGCTATTACTCAAAAGTCAGAGTTACTGTAGCGTGCGCGCAAATGAATCTCTGCTAATATAACAAATAGTATTATTAGCCTTAATTGCAGTTTGGCAGAGATGCTCGAGGTGAACTCTAAGGTTAGAACTTCCTAGGACATGGGAGAAGTTACCTGAAGATATCACAGAGTTTGTGTTAATGCATGTTTAAAAAAAAAAAAAAAGCAGCTATGTCTCATCTTTCATCTGGCATTAACTCTGTAAAGAAATATTTTTCTTTTCCATAATGTAGTAGCAAACAAAAGATTTTATTTCTTTTTTGGAAATCTTAAGTCTGCAAGAGACTGAACAGGAAATAAAATAACCAGATTACCTTACAGATAAAGATAGTTGGGATGCTGGAAGCAGATGAGAAAGACAGAGGTAATGCAGGTCAGACATGACTGAAGTATAGGAACAGGAACCAGGAAATCTATGTTGTCTCTCACACTGATCAGCTGTGTAGGACTTGTTAACTCTTCTCCCATCCCTTGATTTGTTAGCCTCTAAAAAAGAGGACATACTTATTTGCTCTTTTGGTAGGCGTTAGAGGATAACTTTTGCGATGACTTTTCCAAGGGCCAGAGACGCTCTCCTTCTCCCCTCAGTTTCTAAACAGCATGATGGCTTGTGCCTCTGGAATACTCTTGTGCTACGTTTCTTGATTTTAAAAG